TATATATATATATATATATATATATATATATATATATATATATATATATATATATATATATATAATTTTGTGCAACTCTTAAAGCTATTAAATTATGCTATGAACTATTAAATCTTAATAACCTTTTTTTGCGTATTAAATCTAATTAAAGCAACCCTTTTTTATAAAAAAAAGACATATATCAGAAATGCACTCGAAAGAAAAAGCCATTAGAGTCGGTCGTTATAGAGCTCCCTCTCTCCCTCCCCCAATCCAACGCCAAAGACGAAATTTTTGATCCGCCGCCGCCATCTTTCCTCCTCCGATCCCACCACCGCCGCATCAAATCCCCATCCCACCGCCTCAAACCCTCACTAATCCCAGCTCTATTCCCCCTCCAATCTCCCAAATCGAGGACAGAAGCCATCTTTTTTTCGGCTCCAAATCGGAACAATCCTCGTTTCCCGTGCCATTTCTCCTGTGATTCTTCGATTTCTTGGTCTTCTTCCGTGTCAAATTCATCGCCTTTACTTCGAATTCCTCATCCGGGGATAGTTTATTTTCCCGGATGAATCTCGGGAAGCCACTTCCCTGTTCCCACCTCAAGGAGTACAGGAAGCACCATGGCTTGCAGGGCTACAGATCCCTCCAAACCCACTTCAGAACGGCCCCCAGTGGCCGCACGGCGGTTGGGAAGTTCCAATCGTTGATCCCGAGATGTAGCCTCTGCTCCCTCCGCCGCTGCCGCCTTTACCTCTGCCTGATCTGCTCCTCTATTTCTTGCTCCGACCACGCCGCTGCCCATTCTCAGGCGAACCCGGGTCACGAGATCGCGGTTGATGTCGACAGAGCTGAGGTCTTCTGCTGCGTCTGTGCCGACCAGGTCTACGATCCCGACTTCGACACCGCCGTTATGGCGAAGCAGTTCCTGGAGCTGCCCAAAGGTAGAGAGAAAGATCGGTGTCGGAAAAGGAGGGCTGCGCCAGCTCACGATATCGAAAGGGCATCATCGAGGGAGACTATTCTAGTGCTGGACTGCGGTGTCAAGAACCGATCCTGCCAACCTTTGAGACTGAGAGGATTGAATAATTTGGGAAACACTTGTTTCATGAACTCCGTGCTGCAGACGCTGCTTCACACCCCGCCGCTCAAAAATTACTTTTTGGGTGATTGGCACAATCGAGAGTTGTGCCAGAAGCAGAGGAGTAGGAGGAGGAGGAGGGCGGTGGAAGCCGGGGAATTGTCTTGTTTGGTTTGTGATGTCGACAGTGTGTTCGCGGAGGCATTTTCCGGGAATCCCACTCCGTATAGCCCTGCAAGGTTTCTCTTCAGGTGAGAGGTTATGTTGACTTTGGAGAAGATCAATTTTGAATTGCATTTTTGTTGGATCACTGAATGAGATGATAATCTACTGAGTAGGCATTCAGTGTCTGCGGTAGTTTTTTCAAGCTTTCTGCCGAAGTATAATCTTGTCGTTTTTTACGGATCTTTGGTTCAAACAAATATATTTCCTGATGTGATGTAGCAATTGGTAGATGATTAGTAGATTTCTTGTCTCTTACTTTTTTCTTCATAAATTTGCATGAACTTCCAAGCTGAGATTTGTTCGATATTTGTATCGCTTTTGAACATGAAATTTCTGGAAGAATATTAAGTTTTGATGATTTACCTTGCATGCTTTTTTCTTTGCATCACATGAATTCATCTTACTGATCTCCACTGATTGTCGTCACTACTGGTCCAAACACTGTGTTGTTTGACACTCATCAAATTGTAAGAAAGCATGCTAATCTATTTGTCGTACTCTCTCTTTTTCTACTTACCTTTGTTTGCCAAGCTTTAATAATGTGTCCCCTTGTTGATAGGATGCCTAAAACAGTCTGTTCCTTTTCTGTTTCTTTCCTATTGACTTGTTATTAGCTTTAGATACAACGCATAGTGTGATATACAGACACAATTCAAGTCTCAAAATGACTACTGGATAAGGTTGCTAAGGACAGCACTTTCTCTGTCAATAGAAAGTTTGTTTGATGCATCCACCACCTGTAAATTCGTTAATCTTTTTTGCTTCATTTTTGCCTGTTTCCTGATCATTACCGTCTGTACCAGCTAGTTAAAGATGATCTCATCTGTATCATATCATTGCCCATTTTTACTTTTAGGTTTCAGATTATACTATAATTGGTTGATGCTAGTTTATAGGTACAACCATCTATTATAGTATGATAAATGGCAACAAAGAAGATACCGAGATTTGTTAGGGATCGGTCACTGTCTGTCTCCATTAACGTTTCTTATTAAGGAAAATGTAATTTGTTTGGGGTGTTCAAAATTTTATATAGTGAATCAAACAACCTGATCATCTTTACATTCTACAAAGTATTGGTAGTTCAAGAGGATGGAAACAAAAATATGGCATTAAAAACCTTGAAAGTTGAGCTCATTTGGATAAATTATATCCATTTTCATCAGTTTGGTCTGTTAGATTACCCTCCTGCTGTATTCAGATATCAAATTTTAAACCTTACAGTTCTGTAACTTTATCAGGCTTTCTATGAAAGAAAATATTTGTTTACAGACAAAACCCTCTGGTAGAAGATGATGGTCTTGAGCTTCTTCTATGTATTGTTCCTTAAGATGTAATCAGTGAATCTCCTTTCTGAGTAATTATTTTATTGTGATAGGAAAACAGGTGGTGGTTGGATCCTAGCTTTCTTCTCTCCATCCTTTTCCTATAATCTTTCATCCAATATTTTGCTCATGTATGGGTCTTTCTACAATGCTTTAAATAGTGGGTTTGCACCATTATTTTGCAATTGAATCCACATGGCAAGCCCATCAATTCTTCATTCAGCTTGCACATGAGAAGAGTCGTTGAATGTTGTCCCCTTTCTAAAAGCTTGTGCTTTGGAGTATAGTGGTCATCCTATCAATTAACATAACAAGGATGCATGTAGCTTAATGGATCTAGTTGTGCCATACTGTGTTGTATGGACTTTGCTGCATTTCCCACTAGAAAATCTGGACAGTGTAAAATGACCAAAAAACAAGAAAGAACCAGTGAAAAATAAGTTCGCTTGAATATGGTTGAATAAGAAAAATCAGAGACAGAAAAAGTGAGCTCAATGTGGAGCTTATATGTTATCTCTGACTCACCAACTCTGACTATTTTCTGATTTTGACATCTTTTTTATTTTGAGATGACAATGTCTTTTGATGCCTTTAGTCATACATTAACTATAAACATGAAGGACAAATACCTGAAATGTTTTTGATTGTTTTGCAGTTGGTGGCAGCATTCATCAAACCTTGCCAGTTATGAGCAGCAGGATGCACATGAATTTTTTATCTCGATGCTCGACATGATTCATGAAAGTGAGAGGTCTACCCTTCAAAACAAAGGTTGGTTGGACCTTTGTCAAGTTTTATATTATTTTTACTATTCGTTTGACTTCTGTGTCTTTTATTCTGAAACCATATCTGGCACATGTTTTACTCTGTATCCTTTAAAGAGTTTAGCTTCTTACTACATCACTGCTTTCTACAGTAGGGTTTGGAGATTGCCATTGTATTGCACATAGAGTATTCTCCGGGGTGCTGAGGTCCGATGTCACTTGCACCATCTGCGGGTTCACTTCAACAACATATGATCCTTGTGTTGACCTCTCTCTTGATTTGGAGCCAAGTACTGACTCGAGATCCAACAAAAGTTCCAGAATATCTACCCTAATGGGATGCTTGGACCTTTTCACAAGGCCTGAGAGGTTGGGACCTGACCAGAAACTCTACTGTCAACACTGTGAAATGCACCAAGACTCCGTGAAGCAGATGTCCATCAGGAGGCTCCCACTGGTCCTGTGCTTCCATATAAAAAGATTCGAACATTCTCTTAGACGGGGAACATCGAAAAAAATAGACCAATACTTGCAGTTCCCTTTCTCACTGGACATGACGCCGTATTTGTCATATTCCATCATAAGAAACAGATTTGGCAATAGGATCTTTGCTTTTGAGGGTGATGAGTCAGAT